AAGGCTCAAATCTAATCTAAGCTTTTTACGACTCTCCTTAGATGCCCAATTTATGTAATTCATGGAGGGATCAATTACAAGAATGAAATATTGTAGTTGGTCAATCAATTATTGAGTAGTAGCAGTAGAGATTATAATTTGTCGTGTCGAAGATAGAAATTCCTGTTCAACAGCATGATCAAGAAACAATAATAACTTGTCATAATAACCATTAACATTTAAAGTTTATGGTGAATGTGCAGTTGGGTCTAAGAGAAAATATAAAAGATCTCTTTCAATGTGCCTAAATGCATGGTAAATGCCTTTTTTTATAGGCCAAATTAGAAACTATTGATTTGATAACTAATTGATGAGTGGGTGGCCAACTCTTGACTTGGTGACAATCCCTATCTTCTCTTGTCTGCCCAAAATGTCATTGATAATGTCAAAATTGAACCACTTATATAGGAAATTATCTTAGCTTTCAAGGAAAAAAAATGGAGATCATTTAGACTTCTAGAACTCCAGATATGGGCTAAACACTGAATAGTGTTCAGATTGCAAGACAGATTCAAACTTCTTTGTTGTTGTTATAATTTAGACTTGAAAATGACCTTTTTAAATCTTGGGCTCCACATTAAAGTTGTAGGCCTATGTCTTACCTTTCCATCCATATAAAGTAAACATAAATTCGAGATTTATAGCTCCAGATATGACCTAATTACAGAATAATTTTCTAGTTTGGACTGCACCTGCATCTCTTTTCTATGTTTGGCCATCTCTCTGTCCTCTCAATTTCAGTTCTTAAACTTATCACTCAATCCTTTCATTTATGTGATAGGCTTGCATTTAAAATGAATGTTTAACATAAATTAAAAGTATCTTATAGTATTAGATATGTTATTATAACACATGTTTTAGTTAAGTAGTTATTGATACGTCAAGTACAAAATAATGATATAAAACCTTGATAAAAATGTATTTTTAAGTAATAATCACCCCCCACCAGCTTATTACTACTACCTAGAAATCAAAGCATTAAAATAGAAGTCCTAAAATAACAGGAAATGAATTACATGCTTTAATAGGTTGTGTGTCCAAGTCAATAAAATCCACAGGATAAATGAATGTCTGACATAAGTTATAATCATGAATGTCTGACAAGATTTACAAGTATTAACATTAATCAAATAAGATAACTAATGTAATCATGTTAACAATTTATAATCTGATTGGAGCCTCCTTTGTGTGTGGTTTCCAATTGAATAATAAAAATTTAT